ACCGCTCTTGGCCAAGTAATGTTCCACCAATTCATCAGGTATCTAAATAAAAGAAGGGTAAGTTTTGGAATAAGGGGAAGTATAAAAAATGAAAAATTAAGGAAAGTTAGATACAGTGGGAGTGTAATCCATTAAGGAAGCGAGGAAATCAGAGAGAGCAGCATCGTCGTCGTGCCTTCCTTCACTTGATTGCGGGTTGTGGTTCATCCTTCTCCAACCTTTCTTACCCAATCCCAATTCTTCATGCATAAATAATAAACATTGTTGAATAATAATAATGACTATAATTGAAGCATAGAGAAAACGAGAATCGAACAATTTCGAATTCAAACCTCAATTCACAAAATTCTCTTAATGGGCTTCGCTCCACCCCACTCCCGTTCCAGCTACGATGACAATGCGTGCTAATCTTCTGTGGCTTAATGGGCTTCGCTGGATCAAATAGGCCCACATAAATTTTTAACAAAAAACTGTATAAAAAACTTATGCACCGTTGGATTTTAATGGAGGGAATTTCCTCCTATACACCATACATGTTGATGTTGCCACACACACATATTTTTGAATTTTCCTAAATTACCCTTGCTCAAGTTTTCCACTTCTGAATCGTGTACCGAAGCATTCAATTCAAAATGTTAAATGTGTTTCAAAATCTTCATTTTAGATTACTAAATGTGTTCCATAATATTCGTTATGTACATTAATAAAAATCCAAAACATATAATCTAAAATATATATATATATAAATTATTCCGAAACACTCATTTTAGAATGTAAAAAAATATTAAATTATATTTATATATAAGTGATTTCATGTACATTATTTTTTACTTGTTTTACCTTTATAACAATTTCTAGCTAATTTTACATTTCCTTTCCTAAATCTCTCTCACTTCTTAAATAATCATTTATCCTACTATTTCTATCTTTTTATTATTATATATTTTGAATTTCAATTTGTAGTTTACTATTATATAATGATATGATATTGGTCGTAACAAAATTCATAACTTTTTATCAATTGAAATTTCTTTTATGATTGGCTACTTTCTCTTCCCTTTTCTAATTAAGGCCAATTTCATCCCACTGATATCTAATTTAATGAAAATAAAATTGTCTTTAGGGAAATGGGTAAAACTATAACCCATTAGTTATTTTTCTCTATCATTCATTCATGCTGGTTATAAAAGAAAGGTTAAATACCTCTTTTGGTCCCTTACAATATTTTTTTGTTTCAATTTAGTCCTACTTTAATTTTTGGTCTCAATTTGGTCCCCAATAACTTAAATTAGTGCAATTTGGGACTTCTGTCTAAATGATTTAGACGGAGTTAACTGTTGGCCACGTGACATCTACGTGGATGCGCACGTGGACGTCAAAATTCCGGAAAAAAACCTGAAACCAGAACGGCCGTTCTGAAACCATAACGGGTCGTTCTGCTTTTAGAACGGGCCGTTATGCTTTTAGAACGGGCCGTTCTGAATTCAGAACGGCCCGTTCCAGAACGCCATGCTTTTTATTGTATTTTTTTTTTGTTATATCTATATTAGTAAATATATAATAAATAAAAAATACAATAAATTAATATTCATTTATGAATAAAACTAAAAAAAATCAAATAAGATAAGACCTTCCAAAATATTTCTTTGATTTGAATTTATCCAGTTTAAAATCTTGACTAAAATGCCGCAATATATTTCAAAAATTGAAAATAAAATTCAGGGTTTAGGGGTACTTCCTCAAGAACAGGTTGTTATTATTGGGATACATCGTCAATGACTTCAAGGAAAAACATTATTTCGTTTTATCCTTGACTGTATAGTGTCAATTTGGTAGTAAGTGGTTCACTCCAGTTTGACTAACAATGAAATAAAACTTGTTACCATTGTCCTTAGTGATACACTGCATCATCCTTAATGATATACTGTATAACCCAAATGTTTAGCAATTGAAGTTATTAATCCTCATTAACAATATTACCAAATCTAGTGTTTGAAATGCTTTGTATTTTAATTTTTTTGTGCATGAAATTCTGGACCAGAACGGCCCATTCTAAAACCAGGTTCTGGTTACACTGTTGGTGTGTTAATTTTGGACCTGGAACGGCCCGTTCTAGGTGCAAATTTTACACACCAATAATGTAACCAGAATGGGCCGTTCTGGTTTCAGAACGGGTCGTTCTGGTTCCAGGTGTATTCAAAAAAATTTTGATCCACCTACGTGGCATCCAACTGACATCCACGTGGCCACCAGTTAACTCCGTTTAAATCATTTAGACGAAAGTCTCAAATTAGAACAATTTAAATTATTAGGGACCAAATTGAGACTTAAAATTAAAGTGGGACTAAATTGAAAAAAAAATATATTGTAAGGGACCAAAAGAGGTATTTAACCTAAAAGAAACTACAGATATATTATTAAAAGATCTTCACCCAAAACTTGTTATAGTAGCGAGTTTATTTTTAATCTTCTTCATTTTATTCATTTGCTCAATTCTCAGCCACCGTTGGTAAGTATATTTTTCCCCAATCCATTAATATTATTATTCATTTATGATGGTTCATATGATAAAAACAAAAAAAAACTTCCTGGTTCTTTTTTCTTTTCACTAGGTTTCTCCATTGTTAATTTGTCATATCCTTTTATACTTGCATATGTCTTATTGCTATCGTCCCTGACATTATTGTTTTATCATCAACAACTTTTTATGAATATAAAACAACAAAATGTCCTTAAAAAATATAAAAAATAAGGAAAGCAAAATTTTCATGTAAATAATAATTATGTTTTTCCTACTGCCATATTTTCATTGTCTCTTTTCCCATAACACAAAACAAATTTATTTTGGATTCTGTTTGAAAAAAGGTGAAGAAGTTGTAGTTTCATTTTTTGAAACTGTGTGTCTGATTATAAATAATAAAGAAACCATGTAATAAGGGATATCATCCTATGCTAGAAAGAATTTGATGCATTCTTGTTGCAAAAGCCTAAAAGGATGTATGTGTTTGTTTGTAAAGGTGTGGACTTTTATTGTGTATCTTCCGTGGTAATAACGCAACTACTCTTGCAGGAATTATATCATGCGTCTTACAATACTGTGTACCTTATTAGGGTGTTTCACTTTTTAAATTGCTTCTACATAGTGATTTTGATGTTTTATTCTTTGACCATATCACACTATTTTTCAATCAGTGGAGTTGTATGTACATATTGATATATATACAATATAATGATAAATTATTTTAGTAACATGTTTTCAACTTTATTTGTTTGTTATGAATTGTTGATGTTGTTAATAGCGTTAAGTTTGAGTTGCGTGAATGACATCAACATCTTGTTATCTTCGGATCAAGTGTCTCGATCGAATCCATCACCTCTTGCAAAATATGAGGATGTCGTGGCAAATCCTATAAACTCTTCATGTTTACCTTGGAAAAGTTTCACGTTTTCGTGGGAACCAAATTCATGTAACCTTTTATTACCCTTTGAAAATTACTTTTTTCATGAATTTGTTAATTGTTATCGTAATGAGAAAGGACTTGGCTATGCCTTCCGTAATTATATTCTACTATTTCAGATTTTGAGTGGAACTCTCTTTGGTTTTAGAAATTTTGATGTTAAGTTCATTTAAAAATATGTTGTTGTTTTATGTTCATAAATTTTGGAATTAAGAAATTTCTTATGAGTTGTAAGTACTTATAATTTTTTTAGCAGAGATTCATTTTGATCCTAGAAAAAAAATATAAGATTTGTATTTAGTGTTGAATTTCATTAGTTTAATTCCTCAAAAACATAGAAAGATAATCTAGAGATAAATGCTCTAGTATGCAAGTCTTCTTTTTCTTTAAATCTTCTCTTGTAAGAGTAATTTTCCCCCCCACAAAACCTCATCTTAGTTGTAATGTTTGTTAATTAAAGTCAATGAAACTTTAAATCAACAAGGTTGATCAATGCGAAGTCGTCTTGTGATTGTTTAGAGTTTTTCTCTTTTCTTCCAAGTTCACTTTGATTTAAAGGTGAGGAAAACTAAAATTTGATTCTTGGTTGGTTTTGTTGTAATATGATTGTTGGACTTCATTCAAATGTGACTAAGTTACTAATTGAATGATGAAATTTGGGTGTTGTGAGATTTGGAGTGTTTAAGCATGTAAATATGCATATTTTTGGATGATTTGATCTCATTTGTTGTTGCACTTGTTATTCTATAGCAAAATAAGTTGTTGAGAATGTATATGTATGACTTACAACAATGCATATTAGAAATCTTCAAAGTTTCAGGTGGAATGAGCATAATTGTGATTATGTCAAGTACATATTTCACTATCGTACCGAACACACCTTCATGGCACTAGGTGTGCTCACGTTATAAGCTATCGCTCTCACTCACATCGAGCACATGATTGTGGAGTCAAGCATGGGTTAGGGTGCATGATTGGTCATGTCGAGTGTGATTTGAATGGTGTTGGACATGAGAAGAGAAATCTCTCTAAGTTGATGATGTCGAACCCTTCGTTTAGTGGTGCTAGTGTGGCCAGGCTAATACTCTTTGTTTAAACAATGTCAACGCTAGTGTGGTGATGTCGAGTGTGAGTCAGACAAAGACTCTTTGCATAAAATGAGGTTAGGCATGAGACTCTATCATGCTAGATGTGAGAGCCTAAAGGTCTTTACCATGCGGGTGCAGGTTGCATGATGTCAAACGTCTACTTTAGTAGCGTCGGGCGCTGGTTGGATAACGTCGGGTGTAGGTGACCTTAATTTAAATTGTTGTTTTATGATGAAGCTGGTAAATATGAATAAAGTAAATTAATTGTTGCATGTTATAGGTTGATAATTGTTTGTTCTATATACATTAATACAATACAATGTTTATATATGATGTCTAATTATATGTTTGGTTGAGTTGTATGTTGATTAATTGAGTAGTTGTGTTGAATATACTTGATGCATTGTGTTATATGTTGTTGAGATGTTGACATTGAGAATGCTTTAAGACATGGTGTTGAAAGTGGTGTTGATCAACCTAGGATTAGAGGAAAGATTGCTTTACAATTGAATATCTCATTGTGATGATGTTGTGTTGTGATGCTTTAAGAGTTTAATTTGTTAAAAATCTTTCTTAAAAATAATATATATATACATATATATATATATATATATATATATATATATATTCTTTGTATCTAAATACTTTCGTTTATATAAAAAATTTGATACATCTAAATATTTTTTCAGTATCGAATATACTGATTTTTTATATAAAAAATTATCTTATATTTCTATATTTTCATTTTTACATTTTTTGTAATGGTCAAGGTATTTGATCCTTCATCTTCAACATTACCGGTTAATGAAGATCATATTTTTGAGCTTATTATTCAAACTCAAGAGCAAGAGCGAGAAAACATTAATGCTTGAAGAACTATTATAACTATGAATATGTGGGTGAATGTTATTAAGAAGATATAATATTATTGAAAATTATTATTATTATTATTATTTATCTAGACATTGTTATTTTTTATTATTTTTGTCTTTGCCTCTTTTTAAATTTGAATGTATGAAAAAAATTGAAATCTTATTATATGTCAAAAATCTGCAAAAATTCTATAAAATCCACAAAGTCCTATAAAATTCATTAAAATCATAATTTAAAAGTATTACATAATTCATTAAAATATTAATTTAAAGTCTTACAGAATCCTACAAAGTCTTAAAAGTTATGAAAATTCTGCAAAGTCTTTTAAAATTTGCAAGATTTTTTTTAACTAAAAAAGTATTTTAAAATCCTAATCCAATACACTTCCTTGTTGTATGTCAAAAATCTACGAAATTCTGCAAAATTCATTAAAATTCTAATTTAAAAGTCTTGCAGAATTTATTAAAAAAGTTTGCAGAATCCTACAAAATATTAAAAATTAAAAAATCTTGCAAATTTTTTTAAAACCTTTTAAAATTTAAAGAATTTTTTTTAACTAAAACCGCACTTTAAAATCCTAATCTAATAAATCCCTCGTAACTTATTTAAACCTTTATAAATTCCGGTATTTCACGGAATACTATGATTAAAATAAAATTTAGAACAAAATAAGATCATGTGATTATAATATTTGACGAATAGGAGAATACAAGATTGATTTGTTAAATATATTTTGGAATCTTTGTCTCTGGTTAAGTCTTAACCCGAATGATTGTGGATAATAATAATAAAAAAAGTTAGCTAGTGAAAACCGAAATAGCACAGCTGTGAAGCAAGATCTGGCGGTGGCAGTGTGGTTATAAGTAGGAAAACTTTGTCATTTTCAACTCACCAAGAATGACCCCACAGTAGTGACACTCACAGAGGTAATTAATTATTAATTAGAGAAAAAGAAAAGAAAAGAAAAGAAAAGAAGAGGGTCTTTGTATGTTGGCAACCAACAATAGTAACTCTCTTTCACACTCACTCACTCACTCACTCACTCTCTTTTGTTACTCACTCATCTTTTTGCCTTTTCCTTAGCTTCGAAGTAGCTTAACCTTTAGCTTCTTCACACATTCTCTGTCTCTGTGCTAGGGTTTCGTCCATCCTTCACATTCCACCCCTTCCGCTGCGCCATTGCTGCTGCATCTTCACTTCTTCTCTGCAGATGCGCTAATCGTATCAGAATCCGAATCTCCTCTTCCCCTTATCTGTGGTCAGCTACGTTATCTGCCTTTTCTTGCAGCTTTGTGCATCTGCTTTTTTTTTTTTTTTTTTTTTTTCTCATCTTCATTATTCTTCTTTTGTTCGAGTAGTTTGATAGAGAGAGAGAGAGTCTCGTCGCAATGTCTTCCTCGAGGGGAGGCGCGGGACCGTCTTCGGAGGCGCCGCCGCCCAGGCGGATCATGCGGACACAGACTGCGGGGAATTTGGGAGAGTCTGTCATTGACAGTGAGGTCGTGCCTTCGTCTCTCGTCGAGATTGCGCCCATTCTTCGTGTCGCTAACGAAGTCGAAAAGACTCATCCCAGGGTTGCTTATCTCTGTATGTTTCTTTCTTCTCTTTCTCTTTCTTTCTTTCCTTTTTTGTTATCCGAATTTCTTATGACAGTGTTTGTTGATCTTGTAGGCCGTTTTTACGCCTTTGAGAAAGCGCATAGGTTGGATCCCAATTCAAGTGGTCGTGGTGTTCGCCAATTCAAAACCGCTCTTCTTCAACGTCTTGAAAGAGTAACCATTCTCTTACTTCATTTCTTTATGCTTCTGCCGTATACATTTTTCACTCGATCTGGTTCATATATAGCTTACTGTGATGTCTTTTGATGAAACCGAGTTTATACATTGATGATTTGAAAAATGCATGTGGTACACTTCAGTTGTGTTGTGTGTTCTTTGCTGTCTATTGAAATTTGACAGTCCTGTGTGTTAATTTAAATTATTTTATGCTATGTCTCTGATTTTTTTGGGTCAATTTGTTCCATGGTCGTTAGGAAAATGATCCAACTCTGAAGGGAAGGGTAAAGAAAAGTGATGCTCGTGAGATGCAGAGTTTTTATCAGCATTACTACAAAAAGTACATCCAAGCTTTACAAAATGCTGCTGATAAAGCTGACCGGTAGATTCTCCAGATAATTTTCTTTTTGATATGTTGTCCAGCTATTGTGTGACTAATAGTTTGTCTCTTCTTTCAGGGCACAACTTACCAAGGCATATCAAACAGCTAATGTTCTTTTTGAGGTTTTGAAGGCTGTTAACATGACACAATCTATGGAAGTTGATCGTGAGGTTATTTTCAATGCCTCCTAAGATGTTATCCTCCAATTGGGTTCCCCTTCTATGTGAACCTTTATTGTTTATGCATTGTGCTATTTATAGATATCAAGAGTGGCCAAAACAGCCCGTTTCGGATCCGGAATGGCCTGTTCTGGACTCATTCGTCATGTGTAAAATTCACATATGGAACGACTCATTTTTAAACCAGAACAGCCCATTCTGGGGTTGAGTTTAATTCATAACGCTCATGTTTGGAACGACCCGTTCTTAAACTAGAATGACCTCTTCCCAACTAGGGTTATATGCCATTTTAGTAATTTGGAACGACCCGTTCTAGGCTATTAAAATTTAAAATATTTAATAAAACTCATTTATTTAATTAAAATAATTATAAGAAAATAATCTCCATAAATATAAAAATAATAATAATAACTATTATATTGGTAGAAAATTTGGGATGTTACAATCCAACTTGATCTAGACATATAAACCCTAAACCCTAAACCTTAAACCAACAACAAT